ACATACACTCTTAAAAATAAAGGTGCTTAAAAGGTTCTTCACAGAACCATTTTTGGTTCCACAAAGAACCATTCGGTCAAAGGTTCTTTAAAGAACCATTTCTTTCTTACCTTTTTATAATCTGAAATTCTGTGAAACAGAAAGGTTCTTCAGATGTTAAAGGTTCTTTATGGAACCATTTAGACAAAAAGGTTCTTCTATGGCATCGTGGAGCACCATTATTTTTAAGAGTGTAGTCACTTATATTATGAGCAAGACTGAAAACTTAAGTGAATTTTGTACTTCTGTTCTGGGCAGTATCCCTTCAAAATCTGATAAACATTGCTCTACACCAGGTGTAACAATTTGGGCACGAGAACAGCTTCTACAGAGGCTTCTCATCCCCCATACACAGATGTAATCTGTTTGGGGCCAAGAATAAATGTTTATGGCCCTTTTGTTCTGGTAGTATTTAAGGGAAAGTTGCAAATCAGTCATTGGGATTCTGTAGTCAGAAAACCCCACACCGCACATGTGAGAGAAAAAAAAATGTAATTGGCATGATACAATTTTACCTGACTAATAATAAAATGTTATATTTGATTTATTCTGAACTCTCCTGAAATCATTATGACTAGTAAACTGTGAGGAGGCTTTTGTTACCGCAAATCTACGGCCAGGATAGATCAAACTGAAGGCTTGTGAATGATAGGAGTAGTCGGCACGTCATTGGAGACCTTCTGATTTCTGTCTATCGCCGATGTTAGCAAGTTGTACGGGAAAGGACTAAGTGAATTACACTTTTTGTCATAAGCAAGCAGTAGGCGGCAGGCAAAATAGGTATTAGTCTACCTACACCCTCTGACTAGCATCAGACTGGCGAGTTTGTGATCGTAAGATCCACGTAAGGCCAATGTGAGACTTAAAAGAGAGAGACATTAGGTCCCCAGTGAACGGAAAATTGAAAGTAGGCTATAGTGAGTCCGGAAATTATAACACAGCGAACTTTATGATTAGTTTTCAAAATGATCGCAATTTGTATTCAATAAACACTTGAAATTGGAGTCAGATTTAAATCAAATTTAAATCAAGTGATTTTTTCAGAAGCGTGAGAAAAGACCGAACATCAAACCTTCAACCACGCCGCTGGACGCTGGTGGGTGGATTCTTACATAATTGAATATTTTTATGCAATGCAATGTGGCTTTTTTGTCGAATTGAATTGAAATTGAAAATTTGTCAATATTCATCATCTGTATACAGTAGGTGAATGAGGAAGTAGTTTTTGTATTGCTTTGACACTGAACTCATTCACAGTGACTCTTTAGCGCAGTAATACACAGCAGTGTCTTCAGTCTTGAGGCTGTTCATCTGTAGGTACTGTTGACTGCTGGAATCATCTCTGGACACTGTGAACCTCAGTTTATCACTGTAATATGTGTTACCGCTACCACATATGCCTCCAACCCATTCCAGGGCTTTTCCTGCAGGCTGCCGAATGAAGTTAGTACAGTAGCTGCTGTCAGTCACTGAATATCCAGAGATTTTACAGGACAGAGTCAAAACCTGACCAGGACTTAAGACAAGAGAATCAGTCTGAGTCAGTTCAACACAGTGGACACCTGAGGGGGGAAATATGGCCAGCCATGTTAGAGATACAGCAACATTATGTATAGCCAAGAGTATTTTCATTCTGAAGTATCTCTATAGAAGCTATAAAGACTTACGAGAAGCAGCTGCCAGCAGCAGCAACAACCAGAGAGATGAGGAGATCATGGTTTGAGACGAGTGAGAACAAGCTGCTTCTTTTCATCTTAAAACTCAAATAACAAGGAGTAGGAGGAGGAATATTTGCATAATTCATTACATCCAATTACTATCATGATGCTTAAGCAAAATTTTATGTACAGCAAAATGTGAATGTTGAATATTTATTAGTTTCTTTATTTTTATTAGTTTGTTTTACTTATTTTGGTGCAAATTATATTTGTTGATTATATTATGCATTTACTTAAATTTATTAGGCTTGCCTTGAAGTGTGTTTTTGTTTTTGTTTTTGACCAGCTGAATTAATGTCTAGAATTTTTTGATGAGCTTCAAACAATTTCTGTGCATCTGTTTAAGTCAGAATGAGGAAAATCATCAACAACTTGATGAAAAACTTTAATTTGTGATATGATGATTATGTTTTTGTACAGGGAGGCTATTGGCGTCTGTCACTGTGTTTCTTTGGCACAATAATACACAGCTGTGTCTTCAGCTTGCATATTCTTTCCTTGCAGTGTTATTGTGTTACTGGAAGTGTCTCTGGTGATACTGAACTTGCTTTTCAGCGAGTCCTTGTAGTATAAGCTTCCACCACTCGAGATCAATCCAATCCACTCCAGAGCTTTTCCTGCAGGCTGACGAATCCAGGCTGTAGCATAGCTTGTAACTGAATATGAGACTTTACAGTTGATAGTGAGAGTGGCATCAGGACGAACAGTCAGAGACTCAGACTGAGTGAGTTCATTTGAATCAATACCTGTATCAATTCAAATAATACCTGTTAATATTAGCAACAAAATGATGTATCACACAGAAAGCAGACTAAACTTACAGGATATCACTGCCAGAAGCAGCACTAAAGATGAAGAGATCATGGTTTGTTTCACAGCACAGTTTGAATGAACTGAAGCGATTCTTCACTCCCTCTAGTGATCAGATGAATATATAAACTGACTCATGCCTGCTGTTTAAATATGCAACAGTAGATTTACATAAACACACAGAGCTGTTAACGAACTTTACGTGCATAACCCTGTCCTGAACATTATTTTAATAGGCTATATAAAGTTCAATGCCATAAATGTTTTAATAAGAGCAATGCATTATATTTTTGTCTCTTCTAGGTGTTCAACTGGTGTTCAAAAAACTCTCAATGTTAGTAATGTTGATAAAAGAGCCCTGATATAATAACAATAAAATGAAGAGAAAAAAAGCAGTTCCGTTCATTTACATCAGAGTATTGCATGATTAGATAATGGAATAATACAGTTCACTTTACATGATAGATTTAACTTGGTAGTGTAAGTTTACAGTTACATTGTCTTAAAACTGTTTACATTTTTTACTCATTGACTCTATCCATGTAAATAATGACTTAATTAAATTCTAACCAAAAAGCCTTGTTTAAATGTTTTTTTTTTTTTTTTATTTGCTCTACAAACGTCAAATTATTTATATCACATATTATTTATATAGGCCTATAAACAATTATTTTACTATTTTACTTTTTTTGACAGTTTTGTAAATGTCTGTATATTTATTTTTATTTTCTACACTTTTAGTTATTTTAGTACATCAAGGTAAACTAAATTAAACTAACCAAAAAACCTTGTTTAAATGTTTTTTTTTTTTTTTTATTTGCTCTACAAACGTCAAATTATTTATATCACATATTATTTATATAGGCCTATAAACAATTATTTTACTATTTTACTTTTTTTGACATAGTTTTGTAAATGTCTGTATATTTATTTTTATTCTCTACACTTTTAGTTATTTTAGTACATCGAGGTAAACTAAATTAAAATGGGAAATGTTGACTTAACAGCTAGCTGAAATAAAGTTTACTTTTTTATATTTTATTTTATTTTGGTTAAAATGTATTTTGTTTCAAGTAATAATGTTTTTTCTCTCTCTCTCTCTCTTATGGCTTTAGCTTTAGTTGACTGTAATAGCCCTCATTCTGAAAGTATGGATCTGTTGTGTTTCAAGTAATAATGTTTTTTTTTATTGTTTTAGTTGACTGTAATAACACTGGTTCTGAAAGTATGGTTCTTTTGGACCTACATCAGAAATAATAAAATTCAACTATGTTAGTGACATGTTTTAATAGGCATTAATCTTTCAACATCCCTGATCTGCAGAAATCTATAGTAATAATGTTTTTTCTCTCTCTCTCTCTCTTATGGCTTTAGCTTTAGTTGACTGTAATAACCCTCATTCTGAAAGTATGGATCTGTTGGACCTACATCAGAAAGACTATAAATATAATTCAACTATGCACTCTAAAAAATGCTGGGTTATTTCAACCCAACTTTTGAGTCAAATTTGGACTAACCCAACTTTTGGGTTAAAAATTTAATGTAAAAATTAACCCAACAGTTGGGTTAGTCCATATTTGACCCAAAGTTGGGTTGAAACAACCCAGCATTTTTTAGATGTGTAGTGTGTTGGCGATATGTTTTAATATGTTGCATTAATCCTTTAACATCCCTGATCTGCTGAAATATAGCCTACTTTTCATCTGGCAGAGAGTGCCCTCTATTGTAATATCAGCAGTATTCTCATCAAAGATGAATAACTTTTGACTTTAACTTTCACTTTATAACTGTGACTATACATAGCAAACAGTTACAGGTAATCTAAAAATTTCCTTCATGTAGTAAAGTCTAATGAATTGTTTGTATTCAAGTCAAAAAATGTTGGGTAACACGAATAAAGTAAGGTCTGCAGGTCATTTCTCAGACGTTTGTTGGTCTGTAAAACACTGATGTAGGTAAAAGTCTTTTTTGTATTCCTACAGTATGTATGGGGATTTTTTATTGCTTGTTTCATTCGAGATGTTTTTGAACTGCTTGCGTTTTGTATCACTGTGTGCTCTCTCTCTGGCACAGTAATACACTTTAATGATTTCATTTTACATAATTTGTACCTACATAATGTTTGATCATAAGTCATTTTGGAGGATGTCAATCTAGATCTGAAGCTATTAATAATAACAGTATTTGTGTGCTGACTGTTAAAGTGGTTTTTGAACAAGGCAGTAGCTGCTCTGTGTCACTGTGACTCTCTGGCGCAGTAATACACAGCTGTGTCCTCAGTCTGCATATTCTGTCCTCGCAGAGTCACTGTGTTGCTGGAAGACTCTCTGGTAACTTGAAATCTACTTTTCAGTTTATCATTTTAATATGTGTTACCGCTACCACATATGCATCCAACCCATTCCAGGACTTTTCCTGCAGGCTGCTGTATCCAGTGAGTACAGTAGCTGCTGTCAGATTTTACAGGACAGAGTCAACCAGGCTTTAAGACCATAGAATCAGTCTGGGTCAGTTCAACACAGTGGACACCTGAGAGGAAAAATATGGCTGGACATGTTAGAGATATGACAACATTATGTATAACCAAGTATATATTTAATATGAAGTATCTCTAAAGAAGCTATGAAGACTTAAGAGAAACAGCTGCCAGCAGCAGCAACAACCAGAGAGATAAAGAGATCATGGTTTGAGACGTGCAAGAACGAGCTGCTTCTTTTCATCCTAATACTCAAATAAAGAGGAGGAGGAGGATTTGCATAATTCATTACATCCAATTATTATCATGATGCTTAAACAATATTTTGTTTGTTACTACTGTTAAATATCAAGATGACCTTTAAATCTTATCTTATACATATCATAAAGAACAAGCAAATAGCAAGGGCAAATTATATTATGCATTTACTTTTTACATTTATTAGGCTTGCCTTGAAGTTTGTTTTTGTTTTACCGGCTGAATTAGTGTCTATAATGTTTTGATGAGCTTTGAACAATTTCTGTGCATCTGTAAAAATCATACTGAGGAAAATCATTGTTTTTTAATGATTGAAATATTTTTAATTTGTGATATGATGATGATGTTTTTGTACAGGGAGGCTGTTGGCGTCTGTCACTGTGTATCTCTGGCACAATAATACACAGCTGTGTCTTCAGCTTGCATATTCTTTCCTTGCAGTGTTATTGTGTTACTGGAAGTGTCTCTGGTGATACTGAACTTGCTTTTCAGCGAGTCCTTGTAGTATAAGCTTCCACCACTCGAGATCAATCCAATCCACTCCAGAGCTTTTCCTGCAGGCTGACGAATCCAGCCTGTATGCTCACTTGTAACTGAATAGGAGACTTTACAGTTGATAGTGAGAGTGGCATCAGGACGGACAGTCAGAGACTCAGGCTGAGTGAGTTCATATGAATCAATACCTGTATCAAATCAAATAATACCAGTTAATAAGAGAGCATGACATTTAAAAACTGTTAAAAAGCTTTTTAGCAACAAAATGATGTATCACACAGAAAGTAGACTAAACTTACAGGATATCACTGCCAGAAGCAGCACTAAAGATGAAGAGATCATGGTTTGTTTCACAGCACAGTTTGAATGAACTGAAGCGATTCTTCACTCCCTCTAGTGATCAGATGAATGTGAAAACTGACTCATGCCTGCTGTTTAAATATGCAACAAGAGATTTACATAATCATATGCATATCACACTGTCCTGAAAATTATTTTAAACGCTTTTATTTTTTAATTTATTGAGGTAATTATTTACATGGATAATGAGCAGAAATGTAAACAGTTTGCAGACATTGTGACTGTAAGTAATTTCAATTATTTTTTTTGAACACCAGCTAAACACCTAGAAGTGACAAAAAATATAATTTATTGCTTATATTAAAACATTTATGGCATTAAATTCAGAAATGTGGACTAACTGAAAAAAATAATACATTTACTTTTTTCTATTTTATTTTACTTTGGTTAAAATGTGTTTTATTTCAAGTAATAATGTTTTTTTTTATTGTTTTAGTTGACTGTAATAACACTGCTTCTGAAAGTATGGTTCTTTTGGACCTACATCAGAAATAATAAAATTCAACTATGTTAGTGACATGTTTTAATAGGCATTAATCTTTCAACATCCCTGATCTGCAGAAATCTACTGTTCATCACACAACAGCATGCAGAGAGTGCCCTCTATTGTAATATCAGCAGTATTCTTATCAAAGATGACTTTAACCTTGACTTTATAACAGTTACAGGTAATCTAAAAATGTCCTTTGAATATGAAGTATCTCTAAAGAAGCTATGAAGACTTAAGAGAAACAGCTGCCAGCAGCAGCAACAACCAGAGAGATAAAGAGATCATGGTTTGAGACGTGCAAGAACGAGCTGATCCTAATACTCCTAATACTCAAATAAAGAGGAGGAGGAGGAATATTTGCATACAGTTCTGCATACAGTACAAAAAGACAAAAAAGACAGGAGATGAAACTGATTCATTATGTTCAGTGTTTATAACATTTTGTCTTCAATTATTTTCATATCGCATCTTTTTCCTATTTTAATTTTTGTTTTGAAAGTATGGTAAAAACTGGTAAAATGTACCAACAATCACATTGAAAAAATATGCACTTTTTGATATACCATTAAAAAAAAAAAACAGGTAGCCCATCTGAATTAGGACATTTAGGCTATCCATCTAATAGTAGCCTACCAAAATCTTATTAACAGTAGAAGTTAAATCTTACTGTACT